TACTTCTTTCGCCTGATGCTCGCCGTGCCAGTTATTTCCTCAACATCGAGCACGTTCGATGAATTTTATCTGGATGCGGACGTGTTTCTCCTGTCGACTCCATCGACACAGGCACAATGACTTGACGTTGATGAAATTTGTTCCCATTGAGAATTTGGAGTGTCGGAATAAACTGAACTGAGAACAAATATTTCTCTTCTTCTTCTTGGTTCGTCAACGTCGGCCTCTTTCTGCTACTGGTAATCACCGACACCGGTGAGCACACTACCCCCAACCGCAAATTTCGTCGGATCTTCTGGTGTTCCAACCAGTGGTAGGGATCCTTAACGATTCCAACATCCATTGCCTCTCGTGACCGTCGCACCTCCGCATACCATACCATATCTTGTACTCATAGATATGGTAGCTGTAGCTATGGTAGCTGTAGCTATGGTAGCTGTAGCTATGGTAGCTGTAGCTATGGTATGCTATTCCTTACAGATGTGCGGGCTTACGCGGCGTTTCCTTCCAGGTACTAACTGCACTTGACACTGCTTTACTTCAGATATCGAACGGCTGGTGCCTGACTTAAGAAGCTACGTCGATGACCAAATTTTTTTCAATAATTACCGAAACTTGATCTAGGTGGTGGCAAGTATATCCATAGGACGGATCTTCAACAAGGATTGAGTACCATGTGACCGTTTCCAACTCGACATCTCAGATTTTAGCTTCAGGTTGTGTTGTGACAAAAAACCGTGAGCTAAAATTCCTGCACATGCAGATAGCATAGTTGAAATAGGCTAGATAATACAGGATGTCAAATATCGTCGAATAATGAGTTGGTCGTTCAGTGTGTTGGTGATTGTATGTGAATCTCAGTCTGTACGTTCACGTAATTGTGAAAAGTGGAGAATTATTCAGGGTGTTCTCGAGATGTAGAACTCCAAAACTTTACCATATGAAAGTTCAAAAATTCACCGATTTCGGCCGCTCTACTAGGGTACTGTTAAATTCACCATTCTAGTTGGTAGTGGTACAGGCCTTATTTCCACTTGTCCTCCTCTTTGTTGCTTCTAACACCTTGTGTCACGACACCATTGCACCAAATAAACGAATATTGACGACGTTGAATGATTTCTTAACGAAAATCTCACCGTGTTCAAACGAAATGCTGCTGCTGCACTGTGGCGACACATCATTAATCAAAAGCATATAAACAAGTTCATTTTCGTAAAGGCCATTGTTTGAAAATGCACAAAAACAATTGAGAAAAAGCAGAGATTCGTGCAGCCAGGAGCCTAATACAATTCTTCAAAAATTCCTGAACTGATCAATTGATTATATCTTCGTTATTATGCAACTTTTATTGGGCGATACTTGTTGGATCTGTATATTGTGAAAACATAAAAAAATCCAATACCTACCTCCCCTCCTATTCTTCCTAGGTGAGCACGATGTTCTTCGAGCATCATAAGAATCACCTTTCGTGCGTTCCGAGCGATAAAAAGAAATACATTCTACATCTTATCACTTTTAGGGATACCCTGTATATCGTGTGTGGGCGACGAGTCGACTTTCATAGGCCGGCCTCGCGAAGATTTGTTACATTGTCTTTTTCACGGTAAATTATTGCTGCACTCTATGGAGATCCGGACTTAATTCAGTTTAAATCAGGCTTAAAGCCGGCCATCAATTGCGAAACGGTCGTGGACGTCGAGGAATTAAGGAAATGCGGAAAAGAACTCTGGATCCGGAGAGGGATTATCGGTTTTTCATCCGATAATGGGGAAATATTTCAATGGTCGGACGGTATCTGGTGCGGTCGTAATGAATTGGCCTTCTGCGTTGCGATAGTCAGCTCTTCTTTCTCGTGTGAGTAACTGTTCGAGGAAAAATTCTTAAGAATGTTTCTATGAATCTTGTTATTTTCTTCTTCCCAGCAACTAAGGAAAACGTGTTCAATTATTTAATACTCAATTTCGAAGTTATCTTCTTCTTGTACCATCCATCTAATTTCGAAAATTATTTTCTGCTATATCTTTGATTCAACAGTAATTTTGCAGTGATTTGAGTTAGGGTCCCTTGATGCAAACTGACGTATTTGTCATCTAACACGGTACGGACCATAGGTCGCGTGCACGATGACCGACCCTGGAGGCAAAATATTGAAACACAACCTCATTCTTCTGTAAATTATTGAAACACAACCTCACTTTTTTATTTGGTTACAGAGGAATCAAAGGATTGAAATAGTTTTTCACAATATTTTGGCATACGAATCGTGTTTTTTGCGCTATTCATTAATTCAAGCATGCCTTCGCATTGTACTGTTGTACAATGCACAAAAAATGCAGCAAGAGACTAAGGAATATGATTTTTCAGGTAAATAGTCATCTCACATAGTTATCATTATGAAATGTTGTCATTCCTTATTAAAATTCCTTCTGCCTTCTGCCACTTCTGCAATTCAAGCTAATACTGCTAATCTAATAAATTGAAAATGTCTACAACACACACGATCGTCAGCATATCAGACCAGTCCTCCCGATTGATTGCATGAATCCAATCTTTTTGCATTATTTTAGAAATTTCAGGTATATTTCTATTAGCTGATCCTATTGCAGAAGGAATTCCGATGAGAAATCAGAGAAATAACCAAATTTCAAAAATGAAAACCATGTGAGTGACTATAGTAGGTACTTACTTTTGAATCATAATGTACCATCCGGATTTCTTCATCTTCCGCTGCAGTTTTTGTGCATTTTACAACAGCACAATGTGATGGCATTAGCGAATTGATGAATAGCGGAAAAATACGATTCATATGCCAAAATAATTTTGGAAAACTATTTCGATCACTTGTGAACAAATATGTTTTGCCTCCAGGGTCGGTCATCTGACAGGTCTTGCACGCGACCTATTCAGGAGAGAGGTTAGGTTTGTTTAGGTTAAATAAGGTTGGGTTACTTTCTCTTGTCATACTCAATAGTCAAAGAAGGCTATCCCTTCGAATTCATTATTTTCTAGTTCAAAATTGGATGTCGGTATGCATCGTTTTGTATTCCTCAGTCCCATTTTCTCCAATGAACCTTCCCTGGTCCCCCCTAATCGACTTCCCTCCTTCAGAAAAGTATCCAACTGTCGCTATACACCGTACCTCAACGGCAACAGTGGTATGAGAGCCTAGAATTGGCACTGGCGAATTTATATTATTTCAGGGAAGTATTCCCTATGCCAACTTCATCGAAACTTTGGCCATCGAATTACGACCGACCGGCAGAAGATGGCTAACTTCCTCGGATGACAATTACCAGGGTCGTAAGGAGGCTTGAGGCTTGAATCCAGCTCTTTGCCGAAGATTAACAATAAAAAGTTTGATTCGAAACGTGGAGAGTGCGGGGGTGGTTTTGTTATGTGCGGGTTGAAAGGATCTTCCAAGAGCTTTTGTGGAAGTATAGTCTTTGGTACTGTACAGTGTGTCTCCGTATATTTTGACCCCTATACTTGAAGCTTCAACTAGGTGGGAATAATCTTCAAATATGAAAATTCTAGGATTTCATCTTTACTATCTTCTATCACTCGTTCATGAACAGATGCGAATCGAAAAATGATAAAAAAGAGTCCAAATCTGTTTTTTCAATTGAACACCTTTGTATATGTTCAACTCTAGTGAAAGATCTTCCTCTCCAACCATTTTCCACCTATTTAGAATTGGATCAAAGTTGCCAATATAACATTTAGATGGCTGTAGACACAATAGTAATGCCGTGGAAATGAAACAGGCACTTTTTGACTTCTCCGTCGGTTTTTTAAATTCGAATGGGTTATTTCGTAGATGAAAAATACGAAATAGTACGGTTATATTATGAAAATATTGCAATAATTTTAATCGTCGAAAATGGCCTAAGGGAACATTAGCAAAATAAACAGCATGTTGCTGACGTCAAAATGAGAAGAAAAGTTAGGATAAACATATGTCCGCAAGATATTCATTTCTGATATACAGAGTGTCAAAGTTTGATTGTTATTTCAGTTTTTTGTGAATAAATTCCAATATATTCGTAATATTCGCGTGGGATACCAAACTTTACTTATACTTGATTAACACGATTATTTTGGAATTTCATTCCAAAAAAAAAACAGGAACAAGAATCAAACTTTGACTTTCTCTATCTCAGAAATGAATAACGGACATCATGTTTATACGAACTCTTCTTCCTATTTTAAATTCAGCAACATGCACTCCTGAATTTCCAATCGTACTTGAGTTACACCCTGTGTTTGATATTCGCAATTGTTTATTCAAGCAGGGCCAAAAGATAGTACAGATGAACAACTTCCATATTTGAGGTCCTCGTATAGTTGAAGCTGTAGGTAGGGATCAAAAGATGAGGACCCTCCCTGTACATTCTATGAAAGAAATATAAACCTGAAGAAGATTGAGAATCAGAAATGGGGAGGAGCCAGTCATATCTTGGCCATAGTTATAGGTTACGTAATAACATGCTTATTCCTGTTCTCTTGGCTATAGTCCCATAAGATAGAATATGTACCTATAATCATTCGATCATTACATTAGACTCATTAGAGTGTTGAAGAAATGATTCAATCTGAAGTAATTCCGAAGAAAACATTTTTAGCTTCTATAAAATTCTTGGGCCTCGGAATTTGTTCCTAAACTAAAATTTCGAGGTTCAGATTTGTTGATGTTGTTAGCTGAAAGACAATTTTGGCTGCTCTGTCTATGGTTGGCAACCCTAGATCTAACTCAATTAGCCCATTTAACGTAAAATGTCATGAGGATTCCAAATATAGGTACATATACCCATTTTTTCTCTATAGTTTCGACGGATCATCAACTGCCTTCTTGCCCTATTTAGGAAATTGTTCAATATTTCTTCTTGAGGATTTCAAATATTCCCATTCGAATTCGATCATACATTATTATTATTATTATTATTCATTATATCCATGACATTATAACCATTGCCTTTGTATTTTCTGTTGAAGTAAATATCCATCGAATTTATAATATATACTGTTGCGCTATCCAATCTGTGTTTGTTTAGGTTGTCCTCGCTGATTAATTAGTTGATTGAAATTCGCTGCTGCGTTTGATGGTATACTGAAAACTTCGTCAGTATGTGGAAATAACCACGGACTTCATATTGATGATGGACACATTATTATGGACAATAGTGTCCCAGCGATGTAGATTTTTTGCACAGAAAAAAACCAGTAAGGTGCGAAGAAACGTCAATTTCACAGTTTTATTGTACTCATAATCTGCATTGAAACCGTTGCATATACATAATATTCAATTTACTGATATTCAGAAGGGCTGACTATGATCAATCGGTACCTTTGAAATGCTGCTCGTACGATATCGTATACAAACATGTGTACAATGAACATCCGACTCCGAAAAGTACCAAACCCCAAGACAGCTGGTAGAGCAACTTGTCTCCCACGGATTTCCGCCAAACTGGTTCTCCATCATCGATTTGGTACCTCTTCTGTAAATTTTTGATGCGATTCTGTCGTTTCGTCGTTCCCGGCGTACCTTTGCTGGCCAGCTGTCTCTTGAAGATTGTGAACAGCGGTAGAAGCTTTTGAGAAGGATTCATGGGTATACTCTTCAAGTTTACACTTCAGATGGAAATGTCGTTTTGACAGTCTTATTACTGACAGATGTGAATGTTTTGGCAATAAATACCGCTTCATCAATAATTAGGAATAGTCTAAGATCCGAACCTAAATCGACCTTCACCGAGCTGATAATAGAACAAAATATATTTTATCATGAATTTAGTATATTAGAAAACATATTAAAAATGGGTTGGCTAAAAAAATCCTGGGCAGACTATTTTTAATTATTTTTCGAAAAATTATTTTTAATTAAATGTTGCAACATCAGGATAATAAAAAAATTGTGTCCTGACTGAAAGTATAAAACGTATAGAATGTGCAGCCGTTGGGTTGTCTACTATTTACCTGGGCGAACTACTGGGTTGTCAGGTAAACACAGGTATATCGATGCCAGTTACTTTCACTGGATTGGATAATTTAAAAAAATTTATATCATCATAAGCGCTGTTTAATTGCGAACACGTTGATATAGGGTTGTCTGCGAAAATTCCGGTCCTATTAGGGGTTTGCGAATTTTAAAGATTTTAATTTCAACGCGCGTGGAAGCACAGTTAAAAGAATTGTATATTCTTTTAACTGTGGTGGAAGTGTGTGACAGAGAGATCCGAGGTAAGTATACTGTGTAATAATAAAGGACCCAACATCGCAGTCGCTTGTGATGGGACCCTGAATAGTAGAAGGTTTTATCGGAGATCAAACTCCTTTGAAAATCCAAGACATTGTCGAAATGGAAGCAAATGAGGAAGAATCTAATGAATCAGACGAATTCGAGAGTCAAAATGATACTTCTGATGAATCAGATATTGAATAGAAAATATTTATTAGAATTTATTTTTCATTAATATTATTTTTGTATTTATACTGTTTTTTAATAAAATTTTTAATCGTAATACAAGATGTCTAGTCTATCTTTTTTGTTATTTCTTAATTTAAATTTTTGGCGGTCCACTTTGTTTCTATTTCCAGAAAGAGCAAACAAATTTCAAAGTAAGTATTTGATATTTTTATTGTCTATTATAGATTATAGATATATCATTATGGTTATAACGCAATATATTGATATTATATTGTTTTTATATATTATTATTATATTAAATATATTTAATTATTATGTAATTAATTAATTATTTTTTTTTGCTACTGAAATATCAGTTGCTTCAAAATAACACGCACTGTTTACTATATGAAGGGTAGTAGAGGTACCTCTACCCTCCATAGTTTACACACCGAGCATGCGCACTTTCTACTATTCAGGGTCTCATCACAAGCGACTGCGATGTTGGGTCCTTTATTATTACACAGTATACTTACCTCGGATCTCTCTGTCACACACTTCCACGCGCTTTGAAATTAAAATCTTTAAAATTCGCAAACCCCTAATAGGACCGGAATTTTCGCAGACAACCCTATATCAACGTGTTCGCAATTAAACAGCGCTTATGATGATATAATTTTTTTTTTCCGTCGACCTCGTATTAACGACTAAGTTTAATGTATATGAAATCGTTCATTAATGACCCCTATTAATAAACGATCTGTCTATTAATGCACGATTGTTTTATAGGCAACCAAACATACACCGCGTGCATTCATTGTTTATGCTATAACTTACGGAATCTGCATTTAAATCGAAAATATGGATTTCATCGAAGATTTTCTGTTAACGGGTTCGCCTTTCCAAGTTTCTGACACGATTTTTTTCCCTGTTTTCTAACACAAGGAATTTATTTTCTATGTTGATCATTTCGACAAATGTCAAATGTTACTAATGTCAGTGACAAGGCTACTGGGTGATTCTTAGCAGTTTCCGGATGAATGATGAATTCGCGAACCAAGTTTTCTTCATTGCAGGAGAAATGAGAAATATAGTCGACGGAAAAATTTTGTAACCAACTTGTATATTAAAAGGCGATTAATGATCTCAAACATTAACGCGCTCGCTTCGCTCGCACGTTAAAATATCTCGATCATTAATCGCCCTCATTGATAGACTAGTTGGTTAAATAACTATCAATTATCCAATCCAGTGAAAGTAACTGGCATCGATATACCTGTGTTTACCTGACAACCCAGTAGTTCGCCCAGGTAAATAGTAGACAACCCAACGGCTGCACATTCTATACGTTTTATACTTTCAGTCAGGACACAATTTTTTTATTATCCTGATGTTGCAACATTTAATTAAAAATAATTTTTCGAAAAATCATTAAAAATAGTCTGCCCAGGATTTTTTTGGCCAACCCATTTTTAATATGTTTTCTAATATACTAAATTCATGATAAAATATATTTCGTTCTATTATCAGCTCGGTGAAGGTCGATGTAGGTTCGGATCTTCTACTAGAAGTTACTATTTCAAAAACACAATATTCTTAACTTCTTTCGATCAGTTCATATGTAGTTGAAACAAAGGGATTTGTTTTCAAAAGATTAAATGGTTTTTCTCTGATCCCAATAGTATTCTTACTGAACAGGAATAAATAATCCTCAGAACTCTCTAATACGAAGTATATCCGTATACAAACTGATTTATTCATGTACAAAAATCACTGGGAATTCAACTCGGCTCAAACTTCGCCGCTAAATATGATGAATCCTTGGTCCGGAAGTTGAGAAGAGCAGTAGCAATTCCGTCATACATTTCCTCTTCTTTGTTTTTCGAGGGGTAAGAGTTGCGAATTTATCTTTATGTCAAGCTATAACAATGCACCTCGGAAGATAATTTCATTTGTCTGTCGCTATTCGTTATTCATGCCACTTGGAATAATGTTAAAACTGAACAGAATTAGAATGTAAGACCTAGTGCTAGTTGAAATGTACGAGTGAAATTAATGAACAGATCGTACATAGGGATTTTTATCTTGAAGTTCTACGTGAAAATTTCATTCCCAAAGTACCTGTCAGTTATATGTTGTCGACTAACATTCACCGTTATCATTTGTGGTATAAGTCACTACAATTTGGTGTCCTATACGTACCATAATATTATATCTGATTGATCCATGTTGTTATGTCTTCATTGTATCATTGTTCACCCTAATTTCCTATTGCAATCCATCCACTGGTCCACTTGGGATTATTGTGTATCACAAATTATGCAAACACATTTACACGTGATAGAATGCCATAACAGGGGTTATGTTCAAGTTATCAGATTTATATGTCACTTGGATAATAAATGAGCTGTATTCTACGCCACAGGGTTCTCCTATTCAGGCCTGTCCAGTTTGAAGAAGATACTGAGATGTTGTTGTTGTTGCCAACTTTTCCAGACATACTGTAGAAATTAACATGGTCTCAAAGTTTCTATGGATAGCTGTTTACTCATATTGCTTATAGAACGTATACAGGTAGGTATAGAACTTGAGAGTTTTCGGCTTAGTTCCTGATCATGACCAGACCAACCATAGCTCAAGATCTTCTTAATGCCATTTTATTCATTAAATTAACCTCTGGTGCACGTACTTCAATCCTTTCCTGTTTTACAATTCCTTGATTTTCGCCTACTTCGATAAACATAACATGGCGTGGGTGAATCTCGCTAAGTTTAGTCTGGTGTCTTACCAAAATTACAGACATCAATGTGACAATAATTGTGACCAAATTATGACCAATGAAGGTTGGTAGAAATGATAATTTGTGTAGGAAGGTTCCTCGATCGATAGTGCAGCAAGGGGAGAAACGGTCATTCGTGACGTCACGGGCAGTAAGATGAAGCAAAATGTCATAAAATGTTGTTTACCAAATAAGTTCACAAACTTTTTGATCTGCTCAGCATATTTATATCAATTTATAGCATATTAGTATTAGTACCATTATAAATATAGATTTCCATATATACATCTGTCTAATACCTCCAATCTGTGAAATGAGAAGTCAATTTTGGATGGATCAGTAGGCCAGAGTGGAATACCTATCTGAAATTTTGTCCCAGGCTATGTACCAGGTATGAGTGTTTTGAGGTATGGAGCATAATTATGGAGCTAGTGAATACTTATATGCATTGAATATTATGTACCTTTAAAATCAGATAAAGTGAAGAAAAATCAACAGAAAATTACTCGTAGGGTGCTATATCGAGGCAACCTTCCTCTACAAAATAATCATCAATTCTACCAACTTTGATAAGTTCTAGGGATCACGCCATCTAACATTCGATATGTGAACCCCACGTCATCGTCTCAAATTCAATTCAAGAACCAGTCTGACGAAACAAATGAAGAGTGAGCACACCAGAGGTTCATTTCATCAATGCTATGTTCATTTATGTAGCCACCCAAGAGCTCCAGTCGTTCTTCTAAGCTGACAGCTCTTAATATCCATTATTTCTTTATGGTGTCTAAATGGCGCTCCGAAAATACCGAATGCACTGCCCCTATCTACATGTAAATAGAGAAGAGGCGAATATTCAAATTGAGACTATTACCGGAACGTTTTCTGGAAATATATGTATAGGGAGACGCTTCGAGGGAATCTTGGTAGGAAAATATTGCGCTATTTAGTGCGGCCCGTGAATCGTTAATATCCTGTAGAAAGATGGCCTCGGTTAGCGGCTTCATTGCCCGAACGACTGAATGTTTCTGACTTCGCCCTTAGAACTCTTTTTCAACTTGAAATTGAGACTTACCATTTTCGAAATGAGAATAAACAAATTCAAATCAGGACAAAATTACTAGGCACGGATTGAACAAATTCAAATTGAAACTAATCAAATTGTGACATCGAGTCAGTGATGCAAACTTCCTCTGAACTCTTCTCTCCTCCCTGTCGACTCAGAACGGCCGAGAGCAGACAAAAACTCTGGAAACCGTGGCAGGGGTGGAAACGCCTTTATCCACTTCCCCAGTAGCGAATTTATTCCAGTCAAAGTCTCCACCCTGTACATATACCAACTCGAGTACCCAATTTTCTAGTTTTGTTCTCAACAAACGCTGAAACCGAGGATTTCTGCCTCACACCGTTTCGTCACAAAAACTCCTTTCGAATTATTGTGACATCGAGTCAGTCATGCAAACTTCCTCTGAACTCTTCAGTCCTCCCTGTCGACTCAGAACGGCCCGAGCGGACAAAAACTCTGGAAACCGTGGC